ACAAACCGATTAATCCCAAACTCTCAAACAAGCTATAAATAAAACAAACAATCAGCCACACAACCAAACAAATAACCACGCAAACCAGCAAATAAAACCCATGAGCAAACGTACGCACACACACATACACAAATCAACAAACACACCCAAACACACAACACACACACACACACACCCCGAACTGTGTCAACAAAGGACACAACAACATGACTAAAACACTTGCTGACAGGGCAAACCACCCTCGGCAACAGAACACCCAGGTAGACGAGTGGCAAAAGGGATAGCATGATTGGTGGGCTACTCAACACGCAATGTGTAAAGTTCGCTTGGAATTGATAGGCAAACCTGGAGTAACAAGGGGCTGCTACCATTTTGGTGGGCACATGACGTGTGTTAGACATTGAGCACTCGGCAAGCTAGAGCTCGCGACCGGGAAGAACGCGGCTGCTAGACGGAAGTCTTGATTTTGCGCCTAAACAGGTGCTTGCTTTTTTAGAAGTTGGTAGAGCCAGCTGTAGATGTACGAGCTACATACGAAGAAGAAGTAATCAGAAGCCGAGCCCCAAAAAACTGTATAAACACAGTTCATGCAGCGACAGAGTTGAGCAGTCAGCCCCTGCCACCGAAATCATCACTTTGAACAGTCTCGCCATTGATTCGATGTGCTTTGAATTGACATCCTGATGCGCATGTGGGCGAGAAAGCCAGGAGCGCCTTCTGTATGGAAGTTTTTCGTCATGAGGCGCAAACCTGTTGCACTGAACTCCGGCAATCAGACAATTCATTGCGTGAGGCCGATGGTCAGCAACTTGGTCCGCAAAATGGCTCTCCAGAACTCTGTTCCCGTTCCTCGGAGCTGAGTGGACATATTTTCTCTGCACTTTATCCCTTCCAATGATGAACCCCTTCCTGATAACCATTAGTCGACTGTTGGCCGGGGAAGTGTAATACAGTGCAACCATCCAAGCCTGGCCCGTGGCAGAAGTGTGGCTGTTTCAACCAGGGTGTTGTGATCTTCCGAAGTTGGGTGTGGCAGTTCGCGCAGCGCGTAAACCACGGCCAAACAAATCAAACCGAAACATTCAAAGCAAACGTGGCTACGCCAAGCCAACATCCACCATGTCAAAAGCAAGCAGGTCGAGGAAGGGCGCCGGTTCTCAATATATATAGCCACTGCAAGGCCGACACCCAAGGCCGAGTTTCCGCATTCGCCTGCTTTCCCCTGACAGTTGATGCAAAGCGTTTCTTTGGCTAACAAAAAATAGGTACCACTTACCACCACTACCAACTGGAACCCCCTATGACCAAATACCGAACCAACCGCAGATCTCATTCAAATTCTAAAGTGTGGTGAGAAGCAAAGGACAAGCAAGGGAAGACTTGGTTTGTGTGGCTTGATTGCTTACAGCACCCCGGCTACAAATCAGCAGGTGCAAACAACAAACCACACGCGTATGAGTGTGTGTGTGTGTGTGCGAGTGTGTCAATAAAGGGCCCCCAAATGGGTGGCTTACTTTTTCCTCTTGGTGTTCCTCTAAAACCACTCTGAAGGGGGTACCAAAAAAACACAAACCTACGACAAACTAAATGCCAAAAGCAGTGAATAAATTCCACATTTGGCTAGAGGACTTACCTGTTCAAGCGGGAAAAAATCACGGCCCTTTCACCAAAGACAGCTTAGCACATCATTAAAACAACATTCACCTGATCACAAAGAACTCTGGTGAAAGACACATTCATGGGTGAAATTGGTCGCAACCCACCGATGTTTGAGAGGTCGCGATTTCATCTGCCCTAATGTATCACTTAGTGACAGCCTGAGGGAGAGTACTGGAATCGTTTGTTCTGCTGGTGTTTTCCGAACTGTTGATGGTGTTGCACGTGTTCCTTTTGCTCAGTTGTTCATTATCCCTGGTAGAAAAGGGAAGCTCTTTTCGGTTGACAATCTTTAGTGGGGAAGTCTACAAAAAAAAAGGAAAAAGGGTGCCACTGGCGGTGTCACTGAACAACTGGGTCTGTGGTAGACCCTCAGCTCTTGAAACCGCCCGCCTGGACCATGGAACTTGTCTATCTGTAGCTCCTCTGTTTGCGACTCAAGGCTTCAAGCAATGATTGCCGCCAAAGCAACTTGGACACGCGCATCAAATGGCCCGGCGCCAAACCTAGAGCCCCCTTTGCGCCTTGAGTTCAAAGGAGAGAATGAGTCCCAATGGATTTGCGGTTGGTGTCATAGTATACTCTCAACATGCAAGCACTAAATGAGTCCCCTCAATTGTACCAATATGAGCGGACACTCTCCGACGCCAGGTGGTTTTGCTGTTTCACGATCACGCTCCAGCCACGAATTGTTTTGTTTCATGTGTTTCCAAAAACAGGGGTACCCCTACACATTGGCAGAGTTGGCAACGGTTTCCTTTGAACATTGCGTTTTTCCCTTACGGATGTCAAAATGCATTCCCAAGATTTTGGACGCCTGATCCGTTTTTGGCCTTGGCGCAGCCATACTTGGGAGTCCCAGGAAAACTGGGAAGCCTCGGTGTTACCATTTCAACAATGTTTGGGCCCAAGAAACAACATCAAAATGCAGGAAACCAAGCTGGACCACAGGCCAGCCGTGAGACACTGAGAGATTTGGCAGGGTGATGATGGCAGTCGAGTTGGGCATTTTGGATGAAGGTGTCCAGGGAACCAAGGTCTTCTTGGCATGGTTTCCAAGCAATGACCTAAAGGTTGGAGCAAAGAGCGGCTACTGTTGACCCCGAATGAATAAACCCGTCCTCTTAGGGGGGTGCTCCCTCCAAAAGTGGTCTGAACACCCACTAAAAGGGCACCCCCCTGCCAAAGAAGAAACAAATGAACCAGGGTTTCCCATCACTTGCTCACTTGCCCAAAGGACCCAGAAATAAAAGGTGATCACCTTTTGGGGCCATCAAACTAGACCAAAAAGGAAAAGCCAAAAGGTCAAAAGGTCGATTCGCTTTGGCTTTGGGCAACTGAGCTTGGCAAGGGATCCAACTGCCGGACTCCAGTCGCCGGTCCTGCAACGCTCGCTCCACGTCATCCACAGACAGCGGCACCGGCGGCGCCTCTGCCGGATTCTGGCCACGCGAGAAATCAAACATCTCTACAACACACTTGCCTGGGCTGTCCTCACATCCCCCGCTAAAAGTTTAACTTTTAGTGGGTTAAATGGAAATCCCCACTAAACACTAAAAAGCTAAGAGGCCAAGGGGATGGCTGGGAGCCACCAAGTTGCATGGAACCCAGCTGGGGGCTCCCGGAAGATGTTTTCGCTCTCAAAGGGACCAAAGAGTAAGGACTCAAGCACGAATCTTAGGATAGGCGGTCCTGCTAAAGGTGAGGGGTATATGCGATGGTGCAAATGTCATACCACACTCCTATGAAGAGGCCCGGAGGGGGGCTGATCCATGACAGGAGTGTATGGTTGTGTGTTTTTGTAGGGGACCCCAAAATATGATGGTTTTCCTTCTGGTTTCCTTAAGCAAAATAATGTTAACCGGGGATTAAACCTTTGCTTGATGAATAGGGGGGTGTTCCATTTGAGTGGGGATTGAGACCACTTTTGGTGGGGTGTTCACCATAAGGCTGTGAATGAGTTCCGATCCATAGCTCACCGCTTGCTTCCCTCTTTTCATAGCAAGGTCTGAGGCTGGAATCGACCATTTGCTTTTTGCTTTTCCCTCCATGGATTTGGGTATGGGTCAAAATTAAACCCTCAGGGAACCGCAGGTTTTAGTCCATGTTTCCATGTACCAGGGTTCTATATTGGGTACCTATTTTTGCCCCACACCCATTTTCTCGTTTTGACCAACTCCAGGGGAGAGATGCATCCCGAATTTTTCCCCAGGCCCCAGGCTTGGCAAGCCGAGATCCGGATCTCTCGAACACCAACTTGCCCAAAGGACCTAAGAATCCTGGTTGCTGTTGACCCTGCTTAAATGTTTAACTTGTTGGGGGTTGAGTGGAAAACACCTTGATTTCAACCAAAAAGTTAAAGTCTAAAGATCCAAGCCAATAGCAGTCAAGGAATGGGCCGCCCTTTTGGGACCTTTAGGAAATGTCTTCGCCAAAGGAAAGCCCAAGGGCCCAAAAGGTGTCGACTCGCTGCCAACTGAGAGGGATGGAAAAGGCTCAACCGAATTACTGTTCAGACCTACGACTTGACACATGGAAGGCTGAGGCTGGCAAGGACTGGAATCCAAAGAAAGAAAGGGTTCCATCAAATGCAAGTTTACACATGAGCAGTTGCTCGCTTCACCACCTGCTAGTTGGATTCAAAGTTTGTTGCTGGAGCCGGTACAAAGAACAAAACAAGATGCTCAGGGGCACAATCAAAATGCACAGCGAAGACTGCAACCACATCGAAACATCGAGCATCGCATGGACATTGCTTCCAGGCCGGTGAATGTCCATTTCAATCCATTTCTAAGCTGGAGAATCACTGCCGAGTCGCAACCTACCAACTCCAAAGACATGTCAATGCCAAACACCTGGTGCATGAAACCCGCGCCTTGCTTTGCGCGAGTTGTCTTCGCCACATGTCTCTCTTTTGCGGGCATGAGTTCTTCAAGAATCACGTTCGTGCCGGAAATAAGATTGACTAGGCTGCGAAGCTGTTTCCTCTGACCTTCGGTTTTTAGTGAAGTAAACAAAATGTGGGAACCTTTGCGAAATTCGGCTGCGTTTTGGATTTTAGCCAAGCTCACACAATGACCGGCACAACCCGCCTCCCCACAAGCCCGAAATGAGTGCCGAACTTGCTACAAAGAAACTGTCAACATGCACTCTTGCGACGCTTTCGCGGCGGGATCTTCAACAACCACTTGTCTTTCACCGCAAGCTTTGGGGCGTCGCGTTATAGCGTTCGCCAGGCCTTGTTAGGAGAGCCGCTCAATATATGATTGGGACTGTACCCCACTACCTATGCTTGCCCACCATGTGGAAACGGCGAAACAACTCGAAAACAAACAAACATTCCATTTCTCCTGACGCCCAACTGAACAAAACTCCACACTTCCCCGGCGACTTGGGGGTGACGCGTAGGCCCACGTTCACGCCTAATCCCCCGTGCCTGGCGCGCTTTCATCAGGCTCTTCATCATGCCGTCCCTGGCATTGAGGTGGATCTCGGGGTCCAAACATTGGGCATCGGCTGTTTGTCTGATCAGCGGGACCTGTTGCTTGTTACCGGCTCGTTTTCAACCACCCAACAAATTACAAACTGACATTCTCAGCATCTAGCTCCATTAATAACTCGACATTCTCATGTATCCCTAGGGTATGGTCCATCTTTTGGGTGGTAAAACCATTGAATCAAAGGACGGTGTCTTATGCTCCAAGCTAGCACATGTTGTGTCATCTGAGATTCTCCATTACTCGCAGTACTTGAGCGACGCAAGCAAACTCGGCGCAAGTGTTGTCTGGCAATATTGGAGCATCATGGCCCGCCGGAACTGGTGGAAAGCGAACAAACGATTGACTCGTCCAGCTGGCTTGTGTGAAGCAAGTGTGCCGGGACCGGTGCGAATTGAGTTGTTGACACCGCCAGTTTCTTGTAGAACTGGTGGCAAGAGCCCAAGCTCCCTGCATGATCAGCCGCTCAAGGCTCGGATGCGTGCAGCGAACCACCGTCTGAAGTTGATCACCTGAGATCAGCCTTTGTCGGAATCGTTTGTGCGTCTGTTTGGAGGATACCCCTTGTTGGGTTGCTTTGAAGAACACATGGGAACCGCCCATGTGCGAGTCCTCTGTTTTGAGCCCTGTGTATTGTTGACTTGTGTGTAAAGGAGAAGTAAAAGACCGAGGGTGAAACCACAAGGATATGGATGATTTGCCATTTCCGCCGTGTCCCAAATTCGAGACACAAACAGCTGATATGGTTGAGAACCAAGGGCCCTGTTCTACTTTAGGATGTTGAATTGGGCGGTGAACATGTACACTCCCTCACAAAGTCACACACTCAGCTGTTGGCATCTATGCAAATGGCCGAAGCAAATGCAGAATGACTACACATGTTAGCAGTAATTCTGTTATTTGCCGTAACCCTAGCTTCTCTCACTTTAAGCATGGCAACCCAAGAAGGACCCCTTAGCTTCATGATACGGCCCGGGGCTGGCGCAGTCTTTGTCCGCTCGAGTGTCAAAAACGCAACTCTTGTGTCTAGTGTATAGGGGTCCGCTAGCTTTAGGAGGAGGATTTGCGGGGTATTGCCTAACAACAGGCACTTGAAAGTGATGGGGCTTCCTTTTGATTCCTTTTGACTCCCCTGTGCAACATTCAACACGGGCCTCCAAGTTTAGGACAGAACCAGATCCCGCGGACTATTTTGGCGCTGCATGTTTTGCTTCTGATGACTAGGGGGCAAGCCTTGATAAACCCAAACCCCACGTAAGCACTGCTCACTTTGAGCAGGAGGCAAGCGTGCATGTGAGGTGTCAGAGTTCATGGCTGCCGGATCGTTGTTTTCATGTTGTTGGTTTCCTCTAGCAAATAGACCAAAATGGAAACCTGTGGTTTCAACATACGCATCAGCAAAGAACCTAAGCTGTTTCCGAATGTGAGACTGAAACCTCACGTGTGCGTCAGGAGCTCTGAATGTTGACCCAGCCGGTGAGAACTCTGTGGCACTGCGGCTATGACCCCGCATTGGAACTATTCGGAGTTTCCTAGCAAACCAAAATACCTAACCCCTGAGTTCCTCATACAGTAAATGTCTGTGCTGTCATCCTCTCAGATCCAATAGATCGTGTAGATAAGACCTTATCTTGTTTGGCGAGGGGCGGCTCACACATTGGTCTGCATCCAGACCAATGTAGATGCGCGCGTGCCTACGGTTCTTGGTCTTTGGCGAAGAACACACGACAAATGGGGGCTGTCTTCTTTTTTGAGGGGAACCCCCTTTGGAGGTTGGTTTGAACGGAAACCCAACCATTTCGAGCGTACCCCTATTTTGACATACCCAAATTTCACACACACACACCACACGCAACAAGACATGTGAATCCCAAGCAAGGAACCAGCCCCTTCGTGTCTTCAAATCCGGCGACATGTTCACCCCGCGCTTCCAGATGCATGTCTTTAGTGTTCTAGATTGTGGCTGTGGCCACCGAAGAACAGCTCAAAAGCAATCCCATCCACAGTAACCCGTGCCCGGGCCGGCCTCTTTTCACGTGCGCTCAGCGCCAGCACACCTCAAGGCAGATGGGGCACTCCGAACAGCTGGCGTGTCATCTGAAGCCGGGAATGTGTGCAACTCAGAGACCCTTGTGAACTTGCGAATGTTGCACTTCATTCTGACGTCCGCTTGTCTTGCAAAAGCACTAAAGCTACTTGCAGCACATTTCTGTGTGAGGCAAATGCAGGTCAAGCGCGAACCCTGGTTTCCGTGACTTGCAGCTTTGCATAGCCCCACTTTCAAGATGAGCCATGGCCATGATTCACATAGCGGATACCGTGCAAGTTATCACTTCAGGGCTTTCATGACCAGCCTGCGTGCGTAGCCAAGCAACCAGCTGGCTGCAGCATGAAGAGGGCACAGATTACACTTCAACCCTCTTGAATAATCGTCCAACATGACTCTGATTCATTACTCAGACACTCCACGTAGACAAGATTTGATTACATTAATTTACCCACATGAGCGACGCACTCAGCAAATAATCCTTGGAACATGCGGTGATTCTCACGTCATAGGTGGACACCGCTGAATATTCACCGTAGCTTGAATGAAGTGTTAGGGTAAAGTACCTACGTGCCTTTGGGTACTTGGATGTGCCTGTCGGGGGCCCTGAAAACTGGTCGCAGACCGAAGCCCGTAGGTCGCTATACCCCCAGCGCCCATGGGCCCATGGGACTCCATTTGGAACTAGGCAATCCTTGGAGTCCTTTGCTAATAATAATACATAAGTCCCTAGACAAATCCAGCTTTACAGCGACATCAGGCGACTCGCCGACGAGATAGATTGCCGTTTCAGGTGATCGGAAAGGAACCAGCTACAATATGGTTCTGTTGAAGGCAATTCTAAGCAACGCTACAAAGCCCTTCATGATACAATTTGAGGGCTCCTTGTCTTTTCAACATGGGGTAAAAAGGCAAACAGGGGCAAACTGAAAAGGCATATTTTACCAGGCACGACAAGCTCCAAAAGCAAGGGAGAGGAAGCTGTCATCAAATGGTAGAAGCATGCCGGGCGTCACATCGTCCAGTAATTAGCTTATGCTACAAGCAAACGTCACCGCGGACTTTGGAGGGGCCAGTTCGCGTGCTGATGCTCTCCATCCTTCCCAACCGCTTGCGCATGGCTTTGAAGGCAACAGGAAGCGAACCTGATCTTGCGGTGCCAAATAGGGGCCGTCGGGACAAATGATAATTCATCCGCCTCGTTTTGTTTTGTGCAAACTGCAAATTGCACATCATCGCAAAATACAACAATCCCAAACCCTTCAATAAGAGATCCCAGGTAAACTCGCCAGATTTTAGGCAGTCCCGTCTGGGCTCCGCACTCGCACCCGCGCTCGCCAAGGGCTCGGCGTTGCGCGGCGAAGGATTCACCACCGTATCAACGGCGGGCCGAGGTCGCGACTTGGACCTCGCGAAGGCGTGCGAGGCGCCCAGAGACTTTGGGTCCAAATCTCTACTAGGTCCTCCAGTAGAGAGGGTACCCTTTTTTTCTGTGGTCTATTTTGGTAGGGGAACCCTCCCCCAAAAAGAAACGGTAAAGGGGCACTACTGGGGGACCTAGTCTACCAGGCTCGTGTTCCTGGTTTGAGAGGCCACAGGCTCAACAGAAATGGCGTTTCAGCCGAATATGTTAGAATACCGCCGAAGCTCGCCAGGTTTGGTAAGGATGCCTTTCCACAAGTCAGGGTTGCGGTGGCAAGCATCATGTTTTATTTATTTGAGGAGCCTTGGATATTTCATTTCAATAACGGTTGTATACAATGGGTAGTGGCAGCCACATTTAAGCCGAGGCCATAGGTAGCGGGTACCCGAGGCATTGAAAGCTGGGGTCAGTTGAAGCCGTACTTGACGAATTGGCTGAGTGGCACCTTGAAATCTGGCAGCGGTTTAAGTAGCAGAATGTGGAGATATCTTTGTGCTCACCTCAGATGGAGCGTAGGGTGTTTATGGCAAGCTGTTGAGGAGCTTGCTCATGGCTGAAACCGGCCGTTCACAAAAGGGCTTGTTCATGAACAATACTGGCAAAGATCAAAACAACATAGCAAGCTCAGAGTCATGTACATTCCCACAGCTGAAAAGCCTTGCTAAAACAATTTGCGGCCGATCCTGCATTATGCACGCTCGATTCCCACGGTGTCCCAACCTAAAACTCAAAGCCCTTGCGATTGAACCACGTCAACTCTGAACATGCTGGATAAAACATGGTCCGCCATTGCCGGTGCACGTGGAAAAAGGCAAACATGCGCAGGTCGACCAAATGACCCGATTCTGGGGTCTCCTTTTAGGGTGGCCCGAATTTCTACCAAGATCCTCTCAAAAAGTGGCCTAGTTCTGCCACCCATGCCGAATGGGTTCAAAAGGGTCAAGGGCAAACACGATGCAAGCAAGCGCCCAGGACAATGCAATGACAACAGTCTACGTATCCACCGTTTGCCAACGCGTCATGGATAATATGGCCATGGGTCAAAATCCCGTACCCCCAGTGAACGTCCCAATCCCCACTAAAATAGACTAAAATGGGTGCTTCACCTACCCCACAATGGTACCATTGGTTTTGACCCACAGCCATATGGATGTGTTCAGGCAGCCATTTTTAAACGGGCGAAAACCAGGCCCCATACCCCTCCCTCCCCGCATGCACAGCAGCCTCTGGACGCTTTTCTCTCCGCCAACCAACACCTGGCGCCAACGATGCACAATTCCACCACTCCGATGCAAACAGTTCAAAATAACTCCCTGCAAAACGCCGTCCTTGGTTCTTTGTGAATCTGTGGCAGAGTGAATCATTGCCCGCCATGGCCCAACTAGGAACATCCAACACATCACAAGTTTCAAATGAGTCCCAAACAAAACCTGCTGCCAAAGGGGTCGGGGCCAGAACGGTATGGATCTGCAAAGCATTTTCAATTCTATGGCTCGGACTCTCGGACTGCTGCCCCACTTCCATGCAACAACCCTGTTAATCGGCGAACAGTTCGATTCTCAAAAATGGCCAGGTCCCACCCCGCAACCGCTGCTTTTTGGACAGTACTCGGGATTTCGGACAAGCGAGAAAGCAGGTGTTGGGGGTTTGCTGGTCAGGATTTGTTCTAACCCTGAACTCCAGAATGGAGACTTCTTTTCGAGGCGCAAGGTCTTCGCTGTGCCCAACTTGCTTCCACTTGCTTAGGGCTGTCGGGCGAGCCTATTGAGCCCTCGTGGGACTTCAGCCGAGGTATTCACCGTGTTTTGATGTCAACATTCAACTCACTTGCCCGAAGGACACAGAAATCAAAGGTTCACCTTTTGGAGCCAGGACTAAACATGGACCAAGGGCTGAGCAAGGGTAATCCAAAGGTGAAAAGGTCGGCTTTGAACAACTGAGTTTTCACCAGCCCGGGATCCGTCCCTTCAAACCCTCCACTGGTCCACGCGACGGCCGATTTCTTTGCGCGCGCCTCACGTCCGAGGTGGGCTTTGGGTCCAGTCTGTGGCAGCGTCAGCAAGGTGTCCGGCAGGTTCCTGGGCCACGGCTTCACCGCCGGACGCCGGGCGCAAATTGTTTGGTTGAGCTCCACTTTTCTGTCTGGAAAACACATGAAAGAAGGACCACACCAAGTTGGTCAACAAATGCAAGGCCCAGCCCGAGTGTCTCCTTCGGGGTTGGGTCTCCCTTTCCAGCAACTTGCAGTCAGAGATTGGGGTCTGTTCGCCCCCTCTCATGCGTGAAAGGCTTGGGTTCCTATGGGAACACCATCCCTTTTTGGACAAAGCAGTCTTCATGATGGAAGCCCGGATATACAATCCTTTGGATGGTTGCCTCCCTTTTGTGTGTGAGGAAAATGGCTCATTCGCGCCGGTTTCTTCTCGAGGCCAGAACCTGCAGCACTGCCGGTGTTTGTGAAACACATGATAGTTTAGTATCCTGAGAGGATACTGCAGCACATGCCGCTGCTGGCCACGAACAGCAAGCACCGTGACACACCCGACCTCTCCCAAACATAGATTGTCCCGTTTTGTGGGTTGCTTGTTCGATAAAGTTCATTCACTTTTCAGCGTGATCACTTCTTGCAGGCCCCTGGTATAGCTGGAAGACATGAGACTTAACATATTGAGTAAGAAGGACGACAAACTGAAGTTCACCGGGAGCTGCAGCACTGGCGGGCTTTTCGACGCTCATAGACACGGAGGGTACCCCTCTTTGGGCCCAATCAAATGGGCCCCGTTTTGGTACTCCCAATGATTTCACCTCACTGGACTTGAAATGGGGGGTTGATCAAAAGCCCCTTTACATGGGATGACCATTGGGGGAAACCACTAAAATTTCCCAACTAAATGAAAAAAAGCCGCCCATGGTGGGGGAAAAGGCCGTTCACGGAATATTGATCAACCACCAAATCAGCAAATGAGTCGCCCCTTCAAAACCTGGTCTAAAAATGGTTTTTCTGGCCCAAACCAAAAACACAGCACGACAAAGGCGGCCGCACCGAAATCTGGCTGGGATTGTCCCTAGCCTTCATCTGCCCGGTGGGTTTCGTTTGTGGCTCAAAGGATCCCGTTCTCTGCCAGGGCTCGGGAACCCATAGCTCCGAGACCTAGATGCGAGCGACAGAGCAATGAACCTCCTCCAAAAAGAACGCTACTTTTGTAAGACTCAGATTGAGCGTCCTTGCAACTTCGTGAACATGATCAATCTGTAGAACGCCTTGTCCTTGTAATGATCAATGATGTGGGTGCTCATAATGTTTCTGACACCCTTAAGCGTACTTGAAGATATTCCTCAGTCGATCAGTGCCCAAAGTTCATTGACTTTGGGTCCCGAACAAATGCTAAGGATCCCCCTTACCAGGAAATGACACCTCCATGGCCAACACGCGCTTAGGCACGGTCCTCTTGTTTCTCCTGGATGGGGCGATGATGGAAGGTGCACAAATCGCATCCATGGAACCGACTTGACGCCTTGCGCATGGCAATGTGTCTTTCCCAAGCCCTCTAGTTTTGACATTCCGAGACCAGACCGTAGACGGAGAAAATCCTGCACCAGTGGGGATCAATAAGATCCTACGGTGACTGGGATAAGGGGCCTACCAACTGTTGTGAAGAGGACTTTGTCCATCCACAGGAGTTGTGTCGATCCGAAGGACTCATTCCTCTTGCGGCTAAACATTCTGTAAGCTTGTTCCAAAAGACTGTCTGCGTCATTTGACTGAAACCTCTTCGAGGAAACATGCCCCAAGTACTTGGATTTAGGTTTGAGCCCCTCCTGATCGACAGTATGTTGAGTGTTTCTTGAATGAGCGCCCAGAAACAAAATATCTGGCCATCCCTCTTGCTTCCCAATCACTTTAGGATCATTCCTCATGTCCCTACTTGCCCCAAAGATCCAGCAGTCCACCGATCATCTGGCCCCAATGGCCCTTTAAAAAAAAAACGGCACGGTGTCGGAAGTCAGCGGTATATATGGCAACATCCCACTGGCAACCAACACAACACCCAAACTCACGCACAAATGTAGCAAAAGCGATAAACAAAAAACCGCCACTCCGCCCCAGCCCCTAACCCGGCCCCGCCGCTACCCCCACCAGCACCACCGCCGCCGCCGCTACCGCACCACCACCACCACCGGCGCCGCCACCCGCGCCGCCACCGCCGCCACCATCACCAGCACCAGCACCAGCACCAGCACCAGCACCACATCCACATTCAGTGCAAGAATAGGCACCGGCGTTCAACCTGCATTGACCACCAGTCGCTGGCCCCTGCACCGGCGTGCTGAGGTAATGGCACTTCGGCAGCCATCTCTCAGGCTCTGCTTTGGACCTGGGCAGGCTCATTGCACGGCCCCGAACAAAGCCAGATACATATGCCTCGAAGACCTGAGCAGTCACTTAGAAGGGGAGCTCAACCGAACAGTGATTGATGAATCAGTTCTGTCAGAATGTGTGTGAAGGGCGACCCAAGAGTTTGAGAAGGCCACGTTTGTTTGGTTCATTATCACACAAACACCAACCAAAAGGGCAACGGCACCACTGCAAAGAATGTGCACAACATGCCTGGAGCGCGCTGAAGCTGGGGTAACCCGCTGGCTGGAGGCTCTGGTGATCCCTCACTCATCCGGATCAGGGTTGGAGAGCCACACTCTTGGCACAACATGTGGCACATGTGGTGCACGCTCAAGTTCGGCATGAACCAATTAAGAGTTCACCTTGGTTGCGTTTGAAACCAGACACACGCTGTGCAGAACCGGCTTGTATCATGCGAGGCAGCGCTGGAGGCCCTGACCTCTCCTTAGCACGCTGACCGAATCTGAGAGCCCGGCATCGTACAACGGCATGGGCATGGCTAGCGCAGTTGTGGGTGATTGCTCTCCTTTTGCGCGGCATGCTTGCGCCCTTGCATCCGAGCTTGATGCTAAATACATCGTCCCACATATCGGTCCTGTGGTTTCCTTTCGGGTCAAGATTATTGGACTATTTATCACCCGACGAGAAGCCTGCTTGCTGTCGTCCAAGTATTGGATTCCAGTTTATGGAACCTCATGCTGTCTGCCATGTGTTGCAAACCTGGATTGCAGAATCATCTTTGATCCACACAAACTGCCGTGTATATCTGCAACACAGCTCTGTCAACACCAGGGGTTTTGCTGCAGATCTGGTGCTGCCGGCCGGGGACTTCAGGAACTGAACCGTTCATGCTGTCATGGGACTGTAGGACCCAATGTTCATGCGGCGCAAATGACTCACTACCTCCCTGCCGGGTACGTGAGAGTTCTCTTGATGCAGAGTCAAGAACACATTCTGTCAACTAAGAGGCACGATGCTGGAAAGCATTGCTTTAAAAAGAGGGAAACGCCACATAGAGAAACCGTCAAAATATGCTGTTCCCGTACTGGAGATTGGACAATTAGTGAATCTGCTGGGTTTTGTAGGATATTTCGTGAGTCCCCAATGTCCCTCCCAAACTGACCACCTGCTGCACATTTTCTATGAAGCTCTGGAGAAACCACTTGCATCCGAGCTTACTGCCCGCAGGAACTCGCAGATTGAAAGCGACACTGTAGCCCATTGTTGCTTAAAAACCACCTAGTCTCATTTAAGATTCCCTTGAAAAGGGTCCATTGGCCTGGTGTGTCTTTGTCTGCCACACATGGCTCTCAGCAGCCCGTTCAGATCCCCGTCGCCGCGTAAACACCGTTTTGCACCTCGCAAGCTGGAGCAGTCATGCGATGATACCGACCAGGCTCTCCGTGAAGAGTTGGCCTTGCTTTGTCCTGCTTCTACCTCGATCAAACACAGGTTTGGAAAGGTCTGTTCTGGTTACAGACTCATCTCAGCAATTACGAGAAGCAAAAGCCGGAAAGTTTAAGGCACTGGTTCGAGACAAGTCATATTGCCTTTGACATTGCGGGAGCTATGGGAAGGTGAGACCAAAGAACATAGCAGTCTTACCTTAGTCATGTGCCGTGCCCGCTTGTCTGTCAAGTTTGTCATAGATGCGACACTGTGTAAACTTCTTGTGGGGCTCTTTGTGATGCATGCTTCTGTTCAATGACCTTGTTTTTCAGCTGATCACCAGGGGCTCTGTGAAAAAAAGGGACCTCAAAGTGCAAGCATTTTCGTTGAAGAGGTCCCTCCATTTTCCTAAAAGGGGACCCTACACCCCGAAACCGGATTGAATTGGAGTGCCATGTGCCAATTTTCGCCTCATCGGCATCTGGTGATGTAAAGCTTTGCCTCCCATCACGCATCATGCATACGCCGGCCTGACTGCCTGGTGGCAATCAGGTATCCAAAGCCTCTCAAACACACCATGCGCCTCAAAGCCCCGTGCCTGGGCAATTTGAGATGACATATGGCTGTGGGTCAAAACCCCGTACCCCCAGTGAACATCCCAATCCCCACTAGAATAGACTCAATGGGTGGTGCACCTAGCCCAAAATGGAACCATTGGTATTGACCCACGGCCAGATCTTGGAATTTATTGAATATCGTACACCCGCAAATGGTGGGTGTTCTAGTATTGGCCCTATTCCCCAAAGGTGGTCTCTGAGGCCATGCACATCAGCGAGTTTCACTCAACACTTCTATCGGAGATGTATTGAAACGCATTCTGATTCCACGTCACGTTGCTTCAGCAATTATAAGCCACCACGCAACACATCCCAACGGTGACAAGCGCCTTACTGATCCTGAACCAAGGCATTTCAGTGCATGCGGTGTTTGAGGCTCACACGTGGTGCCAGTCGCAACATGAGTCAACCGGGAGAGAGGCAGGGCTGGCCCTGCCCTCGGCTTGGGGTCCTCTCGGCATCTGCCCTTTAGACGGCCGAGGGAATCCGACTGGCCACGACATAGAAAGGCGCAAGGCAGCAGTCAAAAGGCGCGTGAGGCTCATGTGCTAACCAATCCAAGGTCGGGCAACAGTCAAGTTGCTTGCATCCCAGACAAAGTTACTCAACATGGGCGGTCACAATGGAGAAGACTGCCAAGTAGAGCTACGCGCTGACTAGTCTTGAAGATTGAAGTTGGATAGGCTGTTGCGCATCTACGTCCGGCTGCTAGCATGGAAGCCTGCGCACGGCAAGCAGTATCACTGACATGTTGCGCTCAGGTGCGCATCCTCGTTTGTGCCCACGTCTGATGCCATGCACTCTTTGAGAGGCGGCAGGAATTGAAATACTTGCGGTTTTTGATGCCACAATCTACACTTGTGCCAGGGCGACGAACAGCCGCTCAGCTCAGCCTATGAGATTTTCAAGCGCCTTAGCGTGCCCTGAGCTGACTTGTTTATTCTCTTCGGCTTTCAACTGAAATCAAAAGAAACGCCAGTCAGAAAGCCACCTCCTGCTGTTGGCGCCTTGAAAACCTTCCTGGACACAGCTGTCGAGACCAGAACTGGCTGCAACAGCTTCCAGGTGAGCGAGCATCCGCAGATATCCACCATGCAGAAATCAACCGCAGATTGTTGCTAAGAAAGGGCGAACTTGCGAAACATACAGTTCCTTTAAAGATGCACCTTTTGGATCCTTTTGGATTGTGGTCACGAGGTCCCAACCACAATTACCATCAATCACCTCAGTAGAAATGGCTGACTGACAGCCGACTGTCCAACTGGCCGACTGGCACCGATTCGACAAACAAAACCAGTGTCTCACAGTCGATGTGTCCACAGCTTTGGCAAAAACAGGTACTGTGGATTGAACAACATCGAGCTGGTAGATGGTTTATCATAGTATCTCCCGTGGGTACATTCCAAGACTTCTCCCGGCAAACCACCACTTCGCTGGCAATACGTAAAACCTCGAGTTGATCAGGGTTGTACAAAATGACGTCAGTGATCACAGCCTTCCCAATGCCTGACTTCGCCAAAATAACCTACCACCAAGCATATGCAACCCGGTGAATTTGGCCACTGGTTTTGGCTGTCGAAGTGCACCTGGCGGAGACAGTGCCATGCCTTCCTGGCGCGCAGTTCCGCACTCCCAGCGGCACAGCGCAGCCAGAGAAGATACGCCTGAAGAGATATGCTGCCCGTGCCCTTTTCCCCATTCCGGAAAAAAAACAACGTGAATAAGCATAGGTGTCCTTTTAGGGGACATAGATGGGTTTCGCTGGTAGATGATTAAACTACCAGGTACACCAGGGCCATTTATTTTTCCAGCAAAACAACCAAAAAGGACACCTATGCGAATAAGACGGTCTGCCCGGTGAAGTGTCCACCGATTTGGAACTCGAGTCTTGTGAACCTCTTCGGCGACACTCCGGCGAATCGTAAATCGCGACCGCTTGCAGCTGCTTGCAGCTGTCGGAATGCCAAACCTCAGTAGGGCACCCACCCCAGTTGTGTGTTTCAAAGCAAACCACGCAACTAGGTACTTGAAGGGAGGCAACTTTGAAGGTGAAACAAACTAAATGGTGCCACATGATCAGTGTTTTCTAGACAACAACGTGGCGTTAATACGTACAAATTCACCAGTGCTGGACCGCAAACACATTATATGACGAATCCTTTGTTGTAAGGTGGGTGGAGGGGCAGGCCGCTTCTTTGCATCTGGACACTTGTTTAGGTGATGTTTGGTGTTTTGTTTCTTTTCACCATCAACACGAGAAACACAGGTCACCCTAAGACACCTGGACCTTCCCGCATGCTCCAAAATTTCGCATTGCTGCTACCAAATGCCTTTCGGGGCAACAGCGCGTAGGTTTTGCTTGCGGCCTTGTTTTGTTCAATTTGGGGCTTAAGCACAATCTGCCCGAACCTACCCGCGAAAATTCCCGACCAACAGGCGAAACATCCCGACCGACAGGCGAGCATTCCCGACTGCAGCACGGACAAATACGACCCGGGCGTTTTTGGGCCCAAACTGTACGCCAACGGCAAACAACATGTCTTTTTTCCTCGGCCAACGCCTAGATTGTTTGACGCCCGGAAGGTCCATGCATGACCAGAGCCAGCAAACACCTTTTCAGTCAGACCAACAACTCTTCCTCGGTTTGGCACACATACCTTGTTGCTGTGAAGCTCAAAATTGAGGACTCGTCGACAGGTGGGGAGTAGCCAGGATGTTTTTCTTCGCATCGAAATAGCTTGATGTCAGTTGGGGCATTGAAGGGATCTGCATGATGCGATCCAGCATAAGGATACATATCAGTCTGCTGACGAGGTTGCAATGCCCACCTGATAATTTGAGTGTGTTGCTGATTATCAGCCCTTTCGGAACTTGAACAAGAAACGTGCTCATTGCATGGCGATCTTTCATACTGACCATGTTTCTTGGGCAAGTTTCCATTTGTAGCCACCGCCAATATGCAGCAGGCCTCGCGACAGTGAGTTTTGGTGAGATTTCACGCGAATGTTCTCATGTTAATCTGAGGAGTGGTTTTCCGCATAACATCCCTTTTACAGCAAATGACGGTAAATATGGCTTCTGTATGGTTGTGTGCGCGTGCGTGTCCATTGCCCCTTTTGGGGAGTTTTTGTTGAATGGAAACTGAAAGCAAACCAACCATTCGGGAGTTCCTTGTCTTTTCTGGAAACCCAAGTTAACACATGGGTATGTCTCTTTTTAGGAACCCCCCCCCTGTCTTCTTAGTTCCCTTTTAAAGGTTGAGGTGTGTTTCTTTGCTGGCCCCGGCTTTTTACTAGCGTTGGCTGGGAACCCTTGCTTCGCGGGGGTGACAGGTGGTATTCTCTGTGGCCAGGTTGGGGGTCGAAGGGTCGCATCCCCAGCATATCCAGCATCACCAGCCTCGCTCGGACTAGGGCTGCCTATTGGTTTGGTGGCAGTTCAGAGTTGCTCCGGGCTGGTTTCGGGTGAGTGTTGGGCTTGCTGAGGTCTTATATAATGAGGGCGGGTCTTGGGTTTGTTTGAGGTT